TGTGTTTTACCTGGATTTGCCATAAACTTGCTTAAAATACTAATACCATGAACTAAGTCAGGTTTTGTGCACACCATAAGATACATTATGGATCCTAGAGTTTTGGCATAAGGAATATATTTCATTCTTCTAATTCCATCATCAATTTTAGGTGACTGATCACTAGACAGTTCAAAGTAATTAACAATAGTCAAGGAAACATATTTACAATCAAGCATAGAAAACCTTTCAAGTATTTTCTTCACATAAGAACATTGTTTCAAAACTAAGATAAAATTATTCCTCTCTCTTTTTATTTCCATTCCAAAAATCTTTTTATTAAGTCTTTCATTTCAAATTCAAATTTCAATTTTGACTTAATAAAATCAATTTTAAATCTATCATGGCAAGCAAGTAGCATGTCATCAATATATAATAACAAGTAAATGGATTTAGCTCCACCTGATCATTTATAGGAAAAACATGAATATTAATTACTTTTGACAAAGCCTAAGGTCTACACACAAGAGTTGAACTTCATATATCATTACATAAAGAGACTTTTCAACAAAAAAACTTTATCAATTTTTATTTTCCTTTAAAACCCATTGGCTGATTCATGTATATGATCTCATCAAGATCACAATTGAGAAATGATGTTTTAACATTAAACTGATCCAATTCCCAATTAAAGTGAGTAGTTAAGATAGAGGTATAATTTGCAATTGGACAAAATATTTCATTATAGTCCAATCCCTCTTTTTGAGTTAACCCTTTAGTCATTAATCTGGCCTTACACCTCTTATTTTCTGCATTAGATTCCCTAGTTTTGATTTTAAAAATCCACTTATAGGCCACAATCTTTTGGTCTATATCCATTTCTTTATTCATGGCTTCTTTCCAAAGTTTTGATTCTGGGCAGCTAAGAGCTTCCTCAAAAGTAATGTGTACAAAATTGAAGGAATCTAGTGCAAAAATAGAGTAACTAATTCATCATTATTGAATCTGGCAGAAGGTATTTAGTTCATTCTTCCTCTATCTCTTGTAAGCTGATAATCAGCAAGAGATGGGTTGTTGGATTCGGTTTCATTTTTAGGTTCACTTTGATCATGATTTATTTCAGATTAAGTAGATTACACCTCAATTGAATAATCTTGATTAGTAGCATTTTCAATTTGATTTTCGAAAATGGTTTCTTTAACAAGTGCAGGTTCACCAAATTTCAAATCTAATGAGTTATTATAGGGCATGTCATTTTCATTAAAAATGATATTTTTGCTAATAATCACCTTAAAGCCATTTTGACTTTTGACCTGAAGTCTATAGCCTTCAATTTCCTTTTCATAGCTCAGAAAAGCACACTTTAAAGACCTAGATTCAAGTTCACCTTCACTTCGATGAGAATAGGCAATACAACAAAAAATTTTGTCTATTTAATCTGGTGTATTTCCAGACCACAATCTTTTAGGGATTTGAAAATCAACAGCACTATATGGACTTCTATTCATAAGATAGGTGGCAGTTTTTAGGGCTTCCCTAAAAAAAATAATAATAATAAAAAATAAAAAAATTTGAAAGACTAGAACTGTGCAATGCACATGACCGTTTCCAATAAAGTTCTATTCATCCTCACAGTAGCATCATTTTGTTGAGAGGTGTATGTTACAGTTCTATACCTTAGAATTTTAGATTCTTTGCAAAGGGAATCAAATTTAAAATTACAAAATTCAAGTTCATTATCAGTTCTTAGTGCTTTGATTTTTCTGTTAGTTTTGATTTTCAATCATCAATTTTCATTGTTAGAAGGTTTGAAAAGTATTTAGATTTTTATCTTAAGAGAAAAGTTTATATTTTTCTTGAAAAATCATCGACTATTAGTAAATAGAACTTAAATCTACTTAAGATATTTACAGAAGTTGGACCCTGCACGTCAACATGTAAATAGTTCAAAATAGAATTGGATTTATGAATTCTAGTTTTAAAAGGTAATCTTTTTTGTTTTACAATAACATAATCTTCACAAAAATCCAGCTTTTCAGTATTATCATTTCCAATGCACCCAAGTTTATTTAAAATGATCAGCTTTTTAGAAATGTGGCTAAGTCTTTTATGCCAGATTAAAAACTTATCAGAGCTAGACTTTACAGCTGCAGAGCTTTGACCTACTGTAGGTTTAGCATAAACAATATAGATTCTATTTATCTTAGGAGAAGAGATAACATCTTGATTATCACATTCAGTCTTATAAGGCCTTTGTGAATCAATATATTGTTTTTGTCATCTAATTCTCCCAAAAAAGTTAGATTTATTTTAAGTTTAGGTACATATCTGGTATTATTTAACTCAAGTATATACTTGTTATTTAACAGTAATCTTAATTTTCATTTCCCTTAATTTGACAACTTGTGTCATTTTCATCTAAATTTGTCCTCCATTGAGATCAACAAATTCAGAAAACCATTCATTAATGGGACACATGTGGAAAGTGCAACCGAAATCAAGAACCCATACTTTAGGGTCTCTTCTGGTCGTACTAACAAGGACAACACTCTAAATATCATGATTATTCTTGCAGGCAATAGATGCAAAGCCATTAGAGTATTTTCTAACTTTCATGTCAGAGATTTTCTTGAAATAGACTTTTATTAAGTGTCCTATCTTTCCACAATAATAGTATTTCCTGACTTGATTATTAGATTTCACTTGATTCTTGTTTTTGTTTTTGGTTTTGAATCTAAGATTTTAAGGTTAAACTTTCTTGTAAGAATTGAAATTACACATATTATTCTTTGTACTTTGGTTCAATTTTTTCTTTCATATGCAACATTCACCAAGTTTAGAATCTTTTGCCACAGATTTTAGTTCGAGTTCTTTGTTTCTCAGAGCTGGGATTGTGATATTAACAGTAAGATTTTCTCCCATATTCTAAGGCATTTCTAATGTCCCTATATTTGTCACTCAGTGAATTCAACATGGCAATAACTAGTTGATCATCAAAAAGTTTCTCATCGTAGTTTAGCTAAATCTTAAATTAGTTTTGTGTATTTGTTAATATTTTCTTCTAGGATGCAGGAAGAGTCAAACCTAAAGTTGTAGAACTATCTTAGGAGGTAACACTTATTTGGCATGGTTTTATTAGGTAAAGAGTTTCTAACTTAGCCCATAAGGTCTCAGTAGTAATGGTTTCATCAACTTTCCTAATCACACTATCAAACATGTGAAGAAAGATGGAAATCTAGGCAATCTCATTTAGTTCTTGTCTTCTATAAGCACTAATCTCAACAGTTCAAGTCCTATCAAGGGCACTAGCACACTTCTATTATAACAACAGAGCTCTCAATTTCTAGCGCCAAAAACTAAAGTCTCGAGTACCATTCCATGTCCCAACATCAAATTTTTGTGCAGTGAACATGTTGACAAATATATCCACAAAGTTACAACCATACAACACAAGCAGCTCAATGTAATTAGAGAAAATGTGAATTTCAAAATAAAGCAAGCGTGAAAATTTGTGCCTAATAATCATGCAACTCACACAATCATAGGTATTACAGTTAACAAGTATGATTGTCAACCTAAAACAATTTAATGAGTGAAAACCCTTGGTTCCACTACTTCCTCAGATTTCCATATCCTCAAAAGAGATCTTGGACAAAGAAAAATAATAGTAAATCACTTTCCTTAATAATCAGTTTCAAAGTTAACAAGAACAGTCAACAAATAAGGAGAGAGTTTGGAAAATATCAAAGCCTGAAATCTCAAAATTTTAGAAAGATGTGAGCAATTTGAAAATACCAAAATTGACAGTCATTGTGACTCAGTAAAACTCAACGATGACTCAAGAACTTAGTAGAAATCGGAGTGAGTCAACTCAATTTGCTTGTACTCAATACGAGTTATAAAAACTAGCACGAATCAATAGTGAGTCAAACTAGAATTGCGAGGACTTAATATAAACAACAGATCAAACATTGTTGGAAGTGAGTTAGAAGGTTTATAGAGGAAAAACACCTTTTAACCTAAAAAATAAACATGATCTCCAAGGATCTTAGAGATTTGACCTAGAAAATACCAAGTTATCACTAAGAGATCCAACCAAAAATTGAATTGAGGGTAGATTAACAACAAACTTGTCCATGAACCAATTTCTTGTGTAAAAATTTAAAGGATTTCTAGATCTACAACTTTATAAAAAATTTTAAAACTAGGGTTTTCAAAAACACACCCTAAGCCAAAACCTTTGAAGATAATGGCTATGATACCACCTGTTATACCCAGACCGTTGAGAAAAGATTAAAAATTCGTAAAAATTGTAAAATATTGCAAAGTTCAGAAAATTGAAAATCGTAAGAATACAAGAATTGTTTTACCCTAAAAGTTCTTGGATATATAGTCGTGAGATCTAATCACCCGTTGAATATCTCTCAAGAGATATTGCTCCAGATCTAATAACAACAACCAATAAATAGTACAAAATGTATTACAAAGATTTCTTTAAGTTTTCTCTGTCCTCTCTATTTACAATAGGTAATCAAAACACTCATAATCTCACAAGACTTACACAAAGTAATCATCATTCTTACTGAAAGAACATAGATTAAAACACGAAGATTACAATTACAAATTTTTAGAGAAATCCTATTGAGCACAGAGATAAAACAAAACCTCCAAATGAAGAAGACGAAGGACCCAAGTATCAGTATCAATTCATATCAACAAATGCAATCCAGGGTCAAAAATAAGCCACGTGGATGGCAGATCACGACCTGTTAACAAAGGAGGCAAGTCTTTTTTAACTAAAAGCACATTTTTACCAAATGGGCTTTAACCCGATTTTAGCAAATAGGCAGCCCAAAAATAACATGCCAAGTAAAAAATTGAGGCAATCCAATCATGTTAACTCTTATGAGTGTAAGATGAAAACTGGGTACGGAACAGAAAAAGTTTGAAAGTATTTATAGCTATAATAAATTTTAGGGACACTCCTCGTATCCCAATCCTCAGTCCACCTGACTCCAACATGAAGAAGCACATGAATCAGAACTCTTATTCAATGGGATTTTGCACATCAAAACAGAGTTTTAGGTTGAATCAATCCCAATCCATTTCTGTGCACTAGTGTGGCGTAAGTGGATTCCTGATCTCATTTTCACCTACCAAGTCAACACCTAAACTACCACCAACCCCAACGAGTTGGTTTACATTGACCCGAAAGTCGTTTCCTTCTCCTATCAAATTCCCTTTTCTTGCATTCACCAAACTCACATTTCCCTGCACTTTTCTGGGCTTTTGTTCTTAAATCCCCTCTCTCTTTGTGATCGTTTTGCTTTCTTGAAAAATGGAGTCAAGGATGTTAGGATTCGCCTCTCCAGGTGTAGTAAGCCCCAGTAATTCCAAGATTTCAAGATTAAGTACCCCTTTTGCCCACCAAATATGGAACAAAAATAGCAGCTTTTGGTGTCAAAATTCAAGATTTCCTAAGCAAGGTATTAAGCCAATTCAAGCCTCTGCAACTTCCATTGGGTACAATCGAAACTCCTTTTTTCCTTTCTGAATTTCAAATTGAGCTTTTAGTATTATTGGGTAGTTGGATTCCTCTCAGTCCTGTGAAATTCTAAATTGGTTCTGTCTACATGTTAATTATTGTATTCACTTAGTGCATGTTTTGTTTCATGGTAATGAAAAATATTTTAATTTGAGTTCTTGTTAGGTAGTTATAGTCTCTCTGCTCTGTGGAATTTCAAATTGATCTTGTCTACACGTTAGTTCTTATCATAGTTGGGTACGCATTTAGTGCATGTTTATTCGAGTTGTAATGTAAAAGATTTTAGCTTATTTTCAGTCTTGTGCTATTGAATATTAACGTAAATGCTTATTTTGAAATTGTTTTATGGTAGAATAACTTGAATTCGGATTATAGTTTTCGCTATTGATGGTACTCTTGATAAATGAGCGTGATTTATTTATATTTCAGAATTTTTAATTCAAAAGGCAATTAGAGATAACCCTAAACTGATGATTGTTTTTTATTTTTTATTGTTTAAATTTTAGAAATGCAATGTTGAGTTCTCATAAATGTGATAACATCTATTACGCTTGTTTCTTTAACTGTTCGTATTTTTATGAGACATTGTGCAACACCCAAAATACTAAAATGTTATGAATTTTTAGTGTGGAATTCTGATCTATCTTTTGATAATTGCTTTTCTTAAGAATCAAACCGTAAACACCGAAAAGAAAGGTCCAAGAATTTGATGCCATGATCGGAACACCCACTGTGTAGCTATTCCATTTACAATATGTCTAACATTTAGCAGACATTTGATTGCACTTATGGAATTGCTCGAGTATTCGATACTATATTTCATGCCAGCAAAAGCCCCTAACAAATTGATCAATCTTATTAATCATGCACGAACTCATTGCAGCACATATTTGCAAATGGTATTCGTGCAAGACAACATATGATTATCCTTATGCGTTGACCTATAAGATTGAACATTGGACTACTACTGTTTTCTTAATTCTTTTAATGAAAATGATATCTTCTTCTGTTATGCTGGATGCGTGTTTTCTTGATAAAATTTGCCTGGATTACTGTAAATGAAGATGGACTTCTCAGTTATAACAATTTTTGAGAGTTTTGGCCATTCTTGAAGGTCTTGTAACTTTTAAAATTCCCTTGTACATCTATGTTCCTAAGTTATTTGTGTTTCCTTTCAGATTGACACCGAAAAGTAGGGTAGACGAGACTGAGAGCTATACTCTTGATGGTATACGAAATTCGTTAATTCGGCAAGAGGATAGCATTATATTCAGCCTCGTCGAGAGAGCCCAATATTTTTACAATGCGGAGATATATAATCCTGATGCTTTTTCCATGGATGGATTCCATGGATCTTTGGTTCAATACATGGTCAAAGAAACTGAAAAACTTCATGCTAAGGTATACTGAATATTTATTACAACCTTTGAGATTTGAGAGCGTTTGCATTTTCTGAAGCATATTCGACCCAGGTTGGAAGATACAACAGTCCAGATGAGCATCCTTTCTTCCCCGATGACTTACCTGAACCAATGTTGCCTCCTCTGAAATATCCACAGGTAAAATATTTTATCATTTTCCTCTCCACAAAAAATTATATAATGAAACGCCTTTTCCAAAACGGCAACCAACAGAACTTATCAAACATTGCGTGGAAAATAAGTACGTGGGGAAAATTGCACCATTGGTTGGCAACCTATTGCTCGAGGAGGCAGTTGGTTCTCTACCTTGTATTATAAATTGTATAATTGCTCATTGGGTCTCAATGACATAAAATGTCCAAATCTTCCTTAAATCGTCAAGCGCCCTTAGGGAAACACCTCTCCTCTTTAAATTTCTGGGCACCAGCCCAAGTTGAAACAGAGAAGCTAGCTTCATAAAATTGGATGTTTGAAGATTACATGACAGTGTAATGGAGATTTGAACAGTTTATGCCTTTAGGAACTGTGAAACCATAAAAAAACTCGACGATCAGCTTGCCACTCGGGCAATTAGGAATAATGAAATTTCCCGTGGAAATTGTTGCATGGTAACAAGAAATGTTTAACTTGTCAGCTAGGTAAGTACATTCACATGCTGTAAAACTTTGGCATAATCATGTGCGTACAATTTGGATTTCTGTATCCTCGTGTTATTGGATCTGTTTATTAGCCACCATCTGGTAAAACTAAATAATTGTGAGATTATTCATTCTAAAAATATCAAAACCGGGATAAATTAACTGGTAGTTTGGCATACACTTTGTTTCGTTGACATTTTTTTTCCATGTAGTTACGCGTACACATGGGTCAGCACGTAAATTATTATAGGCAAACTGAAAGGGAAGTCCTACTTGGTAGTGTCATTGAATTGAGCATGTTCACGTTTGCATTGTTAAGAACATTCCTATCTATTGGCATTTTTATGTTTATCTGGCCTACCATTTATAATTTTGGTTGATCCCGACATGGGATAAATTCTGATATTCATACAGGTTTTACATCCTGCTTCAGATTCAATCAATATAAATGGTAAAATATGGGATATGTACTTCAGGGATCTTCTCCCCAGATTAGTTAAAGAAGGTGATGATGGTAACTGCGGATCAGCCGCAACTTGTGACACACTTTGCTTGCAGGTAGCATTCTGACTAACTCTATCGGGTTAATATGTTACATGAACGTCAAAAGTATAACAAATCTAAAACATAACTTAAGGACCCTGTACTGTCTGAGATGATGATGTTTCATGTAAACTAATCTCTTTTTGAACTTGGAACCTTCCACAGCAGATAAGGGTGATCTAGTTTAGAATTAATTAGATTTCTGAACTTTGCTTTATACTGCTGTATTCCTGCATGCAGGTTCTGTCGAAAAGAATTCATTATGGTAAATTTGTGGCTGAAGCAAAATTTCGAGCCTCCCCGGATGTCTATAAAGCTGCCATTAAAGCACAAGTAAATTTACTTTAGCTACTCTCGACGTGCAAATGCTTCATTGAAATCCTTATTAATTCTCTTTAAGCATGTTTGCGATGGTGGATTGCATTCTAATCATTTTTAGTACTACTTAGGAAACATGCGATTTTTATTTAGCCTTGTGCTTTATTCTAAAAACGAGTTTAAACTAATGCTGATTATCTGTGGTTATATTTCAGGACAAAGACCAATTGATGGATTTGCTAACATATCCAATAGTCGAAGAAGCAATCAAAAAAAGGGTCGAAATGAAAACCAGAACTTACGGGCAAGAGGTGACTGTAGACTTTGGTGTAGATGGAACCGATCCAGTTTACAAAATTAATCCAATTCTAGTTGCCGGTCTTTATGGGGAGTGGATCATGCCATTGACAAAGGAAGTGCAAGTTCACTATTTACTGAGAAGGCTGGACTGAATAAAACCGAAGCACTTGGTTCATGAGTAGTACTTTCTGTATAAAAAATAAGGGTAATTAGCACATAACGTCTCTATCTTTCAATCTTATTGTGCAAAATGTCATTACCTTTTATTTTATGGTGTTTTCATCCTTAATTACACTTTTGATTGCGCAAATAATCCTTGCGTCTATTTTCTATCAATATCTCCATTAGTCAACCCAAAAAAATCAATTTGATCACATTTTTAAGGGCAGAATGGGAACTTTATATTTATTGCACTAGACGATCAAAATAATTAAATTTGAAAACAAAAAACTCAAAAAATAAATAAATGATTTTCTTCATTATCACCTCCATCCACCCGCAAACCAACCCAAACCAAAATCATTCCACCCATCTCTCACCATCGACGCTAACGAGACTAACAGATGGTCATCGGTGTTAACATTCACAAACGCATTGCAATCGCCACCACCTCAAATCATCAACTATCCATTATCCACAATTTCAAAATCCTTTGCCCACATTTTTCCTAACTTGTGTATATCACGAAATTTTCGAAAAAATCCCAATGAACTTATATTTTCAGCTCAACTGAATAATGAAGAAGTCATTTCTTTCAAATTAAGTAAACCCACAAACAATTGCCATTTGAAAATTAGTTTTCACACGTTTAACCCTATTTTTGCATTTGACCACTAAGCACTGGATTCCATGGCCTCGACGGATGTATTTGACACCTGTTTTTGCATCTGCAAATGAAAGGAATTGAGAATTGCAACAAAGGCGATAATGGAATGACTAACCTGTAGCATTTAGAAATAGGACAATAAATATGGGTGTTGGTAATTTACTTTCAATTTTTAACCGATTTTTATTTTTTATTTATTGGAAAAATAAATATGGGTGGTGGTGGCGGCAGCGAATATTGCTATGGTGTGTATGTGGGTATTGGCATTGACAACCGTCAACAATTTGCTTTGGCACCGATGGTGAGAGAAGAGTAGAAAAATTTTGGTTTGGGTTGATTTTTGGCTAAGAGTGATAGGAAAATCTTTATATTTTAATTATTTTAATAGTTTAATGTGATAAATAGTAAGTTGCCATTCCGCCCTTTAAAAATGTGGTTGTAGACGATAGGTTCTATAACCAAGAAATCGGATCAGATAGACCACCAGCAATCCTGTGGAACTCAAGAAAAATAGAATAAAGGAAAATGCCTGTAAAAAGATCTTAAAAGGACATCGGTGTGATGTCGGTCAAAAAACTTCCGACGGTCAAGTCAGTAAATCTTGTAGAAAATTTGATAAATGCCAGATGGAAGAAAGAAGAAATGAATTAGAGTCTAGTAGATCCTAATACCTAAATGTTTGACCGACTGCTGAATTTATAGGAGTGGGATAACCATCTAGGAGGGATTGGCGGGGATTCTCCGAGATTTCGTGGTTGGTTGGAGCCAAATCTAATTTGATCTATTCAGTTGAGATATCAGATCCGTTTGTAGATAACTCTCACCAGATCTGGATAGATCATAACGTGATCTATTTGAAAGATAGATTATTGGAGATTTCCAATTGACATGTAGGTCATGGAATGTGTATTTGGTCGATTGTTATAATAAGTTGGGTCGAAGATGGCATGGTTGAATCGTATGTGGACCCTATTGTATGGTTTGGGCCACTTGGACCAATAAATTAAATTCTACCACTACAATTTGTCCTCCACTCTTTTATACGAGTTCTACTCGAATGAAAGAGTAATTCGGCTTCAGGGATGATCGAATCCTTGGTTGAGAGCGAATTCGAATCATAGGGCTGATCATTTGATTACATGGTGGTGTATAAGAATCGTTCGGTCATTAAAAATATCATGGAGATTTCTATCAGTTGTCCAATCGTGCGATTTTTAGCTTGCAAGTCAGATATTTGTCTTCTTCGGCACGACTTAATAGCTCTCATATGGCTTAGAGGCCAAGCGATAAATCTTTTTGAAAATTTATTGCATAGCCCATGTGATGAATATCAATAATTTTTATTCATTATATAATAATATTATATATATAAAATGAAATATTACAATGTCTGCACGACTCGAAAATCGTGTGGTAAGATCAATTTAGTGGCATGCATGCAAGAACTTGTTCCCACCACTCGGCATTTTGCCGAGTGGTTTTGTAGCAATAATTAAATTTTTCTCTGTTTTTTCAGTCTGTCTAGGTCGTGCGGTACGCATCCTTTGATTTTCTAGTTAGATTGATTGATGCATCTGTTCCAAAAAGAAGATCGTTGATTCGTCTGGATCATGTCATACGCATGACTTGTTTTGCCATTCCAAGTGATGAATATATCCACATGAAAGGAAAAGGTATTCGATCTATCTAGACCATGCCATATTTGTGGATTGGTTTACTAGCCCATAAGAAAATATATTTATCTGGCTAGATAGTACGATGCATTCTACACGGCAAATTAGTCGGAAGGCTTCATGTTCATTTGCAAGGTTCAACGAATGTATTCTGTCGATGGTTTTGATTGCATTTATGAACTCGTTTACTCATCTCCTTTAGAGTGTCAATTTCTATAATTTAAGACCTCATGTCCTCATTTTTCAAGTGACTTGAGTTCTCTTCAAGAAGCTTTTGAGATTTTGGTGAGTTTTTCTTTTCTATTCTTCAAGTTCTTGTTTTGTTTTTGAATGTTCATTGAGTGATCTTCAATCATTTTTCCAAGTTCTTTGGCGGTTGAGTATTTTTTTGATTTAGTGTTTCTGGAGTTTGATCCGTTGCAAAGTGAAGTTGCTAGTGAATAGTTGTTTTTTATGAACAATAGATTTCAGTGATTTTTCTGACACTCCGTATGGAATTTCGGTCGAAGCATGGCCGACTGGTGATGCGGATGAAAACTCGTGGCTAGACGATTATGTGGGTTCGGATTGTCCAACCGGGCCAACATTCACGGGGTTTGTAGGCGATCCGGAGATTCATTCCTCTCATGAGATTGATCTAGAGAGCGTTGGTACCAGTGGTGGTCTGTTCGATCCAAGTCGTGACGATGACCAGCCTAGATATGATTCGTACAGGTAGAGCTATACAAATGGTAGTGATATCATGTTTAATAAGAACATACCGAGCAAGCTGAAGGACAATGACTTGGTAAGAATCCGAGATGCCTATGATATTCCTGCATCAGTTAAACTTCGTCTACCATGACCGCACGCAAGGGTTTCGTGGAATGTCCTAGGTTAGGTTTTTTCTATAAGTTGCCATTAAAGATGGCTTTCGATTTTCGATTTCCCACTCGGTTACGATGGTATTAGAGTATTTCGAGATTGCACCCAGTCAACTTATGCCTAACTCTTGGAGATTGCTTTTAGCACTTCAGGTCTTAACCGAGCGACATGATATCTCATTTGGCATGCCAGAGCTACTTCATGGCTACTTTATCAGGGAGCACGACGATGAGAATGGCCTTTTTTCCTTAAATGTAAGGAAAAATGTTGATCGATAGTTGGCCTTTCTTCTGGGGATAAGGGTTAGAAAGGGTCTTATTTTCTCGCATCAGGTGACTTGGTTTGGTCGGAGAGTTACCATTTCCCTTCGGCATGGTCCCATGGTAAGTTTACTTTCAATACATTTTATTGATTTGAGGTTCTTATTTTATTTTCTTGTACGTCTTCTTATCAACACGCAGCGAATCAAAGGATTGTTCGTAAAGGAGCGCATTTCCAAGATCTTAGCGATACTTAAGGATTAGAGGGATTGCCAATTCTTTTTGTCTCCAAAAGTCCTTTCTTCAAGCAGCTTGTGATAGCACATTTCGACTGAACCAAGAGGTATTCCTTCCCATTTTTCAAGATATAAGATCCCTATTGTAATGGCAAAGAGAGGTATGGAAATTCTTGAGAGTAACCTTCCTATGACTGGCCCATTTAACTCAACCGATCGTGAGATTGCAGATCAAATTATGTCAAGAGTGATAGAATCTTCGCTCGATGCTTTGGAAAGGAAAAAGGCGAATGAGAAGTCCAAAAAGGTTTCTCATCATACGGTACTAGCTGACACCCCAATTCCGTCCCATGGTCTTTCCAGCCAGATGGAGCTGTCTGACGCTCCTTTTCTGTCGATCCGAAAATGCGATCGACTGGGGCTATTGTCGACAGACGACAACTCGATCCTGCTTACATTCCCATTAGACTCCTCCGCATTTTCTAACCCTAGGATGGCAGCACTTAGCAAGGGACTTTTATTCCCTGAAGATCGAGTACGCTATGAACAACTTAGTCCAATTAAGGCAGCCGAAAACACGATGGCTCAGGCATTTCAGGTATAGTATTTTTATATACTTTTTTATGGATAACCCAATTGGTTGACACAAACTTATTCCATTGATTCCAGGTACTACAAGGGGCTATTTTTCAAAAGAACGAAGTCGTTAGGCTGGTGAGGAAGGTGCGCTCATTGCAAGATGCGAATACTTCATTGTGTGGGGAAAATGAAAGTTTGAGGACAGGGAAGTAAGATGCTGATTCGGCTACTAGGAAGGCGCTGGATGAGCTAGCCGAGGTGGTTCGCGAGAAGCTTGCATTGGAGGAGGAACTTGCAAACTCAAAGAAATCTCCAGGGGATCAGATCACTTCTCTGGGAGACCGTATGGAGAACTGCCAATTGGAAGTAAAGATAGCCACTCAGACCTTTCTTATGAATGATTACAAGAAAGGTAGGAACGTTAGCTGGGACATAGATAAAGCTATTGCCAATTATGCGGAATTGTGCCAGTTGCTTGGTATGTCGAATACATTAGAGGAACAACCCAAAGTTGGGGCTTCATCCGGCGATGGAATCGGGAATACTGATGATGGACAGGCTAAGTGCCTTTGGAGGCACATTTTCCATGTGTGCTTTTCGGCCATTATTTTCTTTCAAGCTTATGTATCAGTATTTGTATGAGTCGTGTTTGAACTCATGTCTTTCCAACCTATATACTTTGTAGACTTATTGGAGTTATGCGCCTAACTGCTAAAAACTCGTGAAGTATCGAACGTAGAATTCTATTTGTAATAGAAGCGTGACCATAATATTGGAACAGAAATTGGACTTGCTTTCTCATCATAAAAGATAAAGCAGACTCATCAAAGTACTTTTAAAAAGGACTTGATTAGACCAGTCCATCTGATTTAGTAGGTAATTTTATTAGCTGCTCTAGAGACAGTTGAGTCTTCGTTTGGATCAGCCTCATGGTTAGGGTAATGTTACCCTTGTCCAACAATCGTATGTTCTTCTTCGTTCGAATGGCTTGAAGGCAACCGCGTGGTCTTTTTCATCCAAATGACTTGATGAAATTTATATGCTTATTTCTCTTGACTCCAAAATAGCTTTTGATACCTTCATGGGATTTTCTTCCCCGAATTCAAGGATTCCCAAATCATTGGTGATGGGAAAAGTCTGACATTCGATACATTTCTCCCTTTTGTGAATCTCCTAAGAGGAAAAAGGGTATCCGATGCTTAAGTCAGTACGAATTTTGAATGAAGATAAAAATACTAAATAAAAAAGAAGAGTTTAAAAGACTTAGGAATAATTTGTGGGGGTGGATGGTGCTCCAGCTTGACACTTTCTCATCGATTCTCCTGAAAGCAGAGAAGATTAGGATCGCCGATGACATTTCTGCCATCGACTCTCTGATGCTTAAGTTAGTGCAAATTTCAAATGAAAATAAAAATACCTAATAAAAATAAAGAGTTTAGAAGACTTAAAAATAATATTTACAAAGGTGGATGGTTTTCCAGCTGTTGGTGATATTTCTACCATCTTAGGTGCGTAGCTTATAGGCTCCTTGCCTGACGACCTTAGTGATCAGGTACGGTCCTTCCCAATTTGCCGCAAGCTTTCCAGCACCAGCTTCCTTGGTGTTTTGAAATACTCTTCGCAGCACCCACTCGCCTTCTTTGAAGGTTCTAGTTCTCACCTGTCTGTTGAAATGTTGGACGATTTTTCTTTGATATGCAACCGTAGGAATCAAAGCTCTTTCTCTTCGTTCATCTACCAAATCTAACTCATGGTACAATTCAACTTGATTCTGCTCATTAGTTGTCCATTCATATCGAAATGTTGGAGTGCCTATTTTTACTGGTATGATCGCTTCCATGCCATAAGCCAACGAGAAGGGCTTTTAACCAGTAGGCGTTCGAACGATGGTGCGATAGGACCAAAGGACACCAGAAAACTCGTCTTCCCATTTTCCTTTAGCCTCAGATAGTCTTTTCTTTATTGTCTTCATGACAGTCTTATTAGAAGATTTGACCTGACTGTTGGCTTGGGGATATCGTGGAGTGGAGAAGTTTAGCTTAATGTTCCACTCTTTACAGAAATTTTGAAACCCAGTGCTTATGAACTGTGTCCCATTGTCCATGACTATTTCCTTGGGGACTCCAAACCTGCATATCATATTTTTTTAGATAAATTGGATAACTTCACGATCACGTACCTTTGAGAGTGCCTCAACTTCAATCCATTTCGTGAAATAGTCCGTGACTACCGGCATGAAAACTCGCTGTCCTGGAGCAGCAGGAAGTTTTCCAATAATATCCATCCCCCATTTCATGAACGGCCAAGTTGAATGAATGGGGTTGAGCCATTCTGGTGGAAGGTGGGAGACATTGGCAAATCGTTGACATCTGTTATATTTTTTGACGTGATTAACAGAGTCCGTCCACATTGTTAGCCAATAGTACCCAGCGGTAAGCGCACGATGCACTAGGCTCCGGGCTCCCGAGTGATTACCACACTCCCCTTCGTGAAGTTCAGCCAAGACATATTCGACCTCTTCGTTGCTAATGCATCGAATATAGGTCCAGAGAATGATCTCCTATACAGCTTACCGTCTATAATGCAAAATCTTGTAGCCTTAGCCTTAGTTCGTCGAGCTTCATTCTTGTCTGGTGGCAACTCGTCATTTTGGAGGTACCTGATGATTGTTGTCATCCAGGATTGATCCTCGAATGAATGAATACTATTGTTCTCGTTAGATTTTCGAACTGCTAGCCATTGCAAGTAAACTACCGGGATTACCTTACTTTGCTTCGTATTCGTAGTTGCTCTGAGGCTGGATGTTTTCAGTTTGTGGGACTTGAGTGATATGGAACTCATCAAAATCTTTGCAGAGCCACTTGGCCAACTCTAGGTAGGACGTCATCTTTGTGTCTTTGGCAAGAAAAGTGCCCTGTATTTGGTTTACAATAAGCTGAGAATCATTGTAGACATGTATTCGGGTGATTCTGATCTCTTTTGCTAAGACCAGCTCAACAATGAGTGCTTCGTACTCTGCCTCGTTGTTGGTTACCTTGAATTCACACCTAACTGCCTGCTCTATTTGATCTCCTTCCGGTGATATTAAGACAATGCCAAGTCCTGCACCATTGATGTTGCTCGATTCATCTACCTGGAGCATCTATGTGCCTATTGTCGATCCATCCATCAAGCAGAGAATTTCTCTTTGGGCCAAAACCTATGAGTTAGGTGCAAAATCAGCGATGAAGTCTGTAAGTACCTGAGATTTGATGGCAGTGTGAAACACAAAGGAAATATCATTTTCATTTAATTCAGCGACCCATTTTGTTAGTCGTCCGGACAACTCAGGTTTATGGAGTATTTGTTTTAGTGAAAACGATGTGATGACTACTACCGAATGACTCTGGAAGTACGGTCTTAGCTTTCGAGCTGCACTAACAAGTGACTAGGCTAATCTTTCTAGTTGGCTATAGCGGGTTTCTATATCCAGTAATGCCTTGCTAACATAATAAATTGGAAGTTGCTTTCCATCTTTTTCGCGAACCAAGACTAGCTGACCGCCATCTCCAAAACTGCCAAGTACATGTATAGTTGTTCTCCGTCTTTCGATTTCGATAGGAGTGATGGTGATGTCAAATATTGTTTGAGTTGCTGAAGCGCTTCTTCACATGTCGGGGTCCATTCGAAAGTTTTATTTTTCCTTAATATATTATAGAGCTTTTGACATTTCTCTGAAGATTGGGAGATGAACCTGTTAAGAGCTGCAAGCCTTCCAGTAAGCCTTTGAATTTTCTTGATACAAGTTGGAGATGGAATGTTAATGATTGATTGGATTTGATCTGAATTTGCTTTGATTCCCCGTTGGGTTACTAAGTAACCTAGAAACTTGCCAGAGGATACTCCGAATGAAGACTTAGATGGATTAAGCTTCATGTTGTACTTCTTTAGAACCTCGAAAGATTGCTTGGGAAGGTCTATGTGTTGCTCTGCAATTAAAGACTTCACCAACATATCATCAATGTAGATTTCCATGGATTTTTCGAGTTGCTCAGCGAACATACGATTTATTAATCATTGATAGGTTGCTCCCGCATTTTTGAGTCCGAATGGCATAACCTTGTAACAGAACGTTCCTCACTCTATCACGAAAGTAGTTTTCTCTTGGTCAACTGGGTGCGTCAATATCTGGTTGTACCCGCAGAAAACATCCATAAAGCTTTGAAGCTCATATTCAGCTGTCGAATTGACCATCATGTCTATATGTGGAAAGGAAAGCTATCCTTTGGACATGCCTTGTTTAGGTTTGTGAAATCGATGCAAACTCTCCACTTATCGTTCTTCTTTTTCACCACAATGACATTAGCCAACCAGTCTGGGTAGTTGACTTCTAGTAGGGAACCTGCTTCCAAAATTTTTTGAACCTCTTCATTAATGATGCAGTTTCGTTCGGGCGCAAATCTTCTTCGCTTCTGTTTGATCGGAATGTAATGGGGATCAACATTCAATTTGTACGTTATTACCTCCGGGTCAACACCGGTCATGTCAGTATGGGACCAAGAGAAATAGTCATGGTGTTCCATGAGGAACTTGATAAGGCGCTGCCTGAGCTCTGGTTTTAACCATGCTCTGACTTGAGTTTTGTGATCTGGGAAGTCAGGGTGGATCTTTACTTCGTCTAGTTCTTCCACATCTGGTTAGTCTGGGATGGTTGGCTGGGATTGCTATAAAGAAGATTGGTCAGAGCGAAGTGAATTTTGGTAGCATTCCTTGGAATCCCTTTGGTCGCCAAGAATTTCTCTTATTCTCCATTTGTTCGAAAAACGAAGTACCTAATGAAACGTTGACGGTATGACCTTCATTTGATGGATCTAGGGCCTTCCCAAGATAACATTATATGTTAAATTATATGCTGAAGGACTATCCATTATGAGGACTTGTGTGTAAAGGTTAACTCTTTCTGCATAAACAAACAAAACAATCTCGCATAGAGTATTCTTTTATTCACCACTGAAACCAATTAGCACTGTCGTCCGACGTGTAATATTTTCTTTTGGAATTCCCAAAGCCTTAACGATCTCCAGGAAAAGTATATTTGCACTGCTGTCGTTGTCTATCAAAATACCCTTGACTAAGCAATTGGCAATGTTCAAAGATAAGACCAAAGCATCATGCTGTGGATTGAGTAGCTGCGTAGACTCAAATATCGTAAAGCTAATGATCTGCGGTGTGCCTGACTGGCTTATTTGGCTTAGATTTTGATAGAGGTGAGTTGCTTAACATGCGCAATTTCATGCCGCCACCTTTGTTATCCCACTAACTTCTGATCCGTTGATGATGAAGTTAATGGTTCAATCTTGTGATGCTGCGGTCACTGGTTCGGAGCTTTGCGTACCATGCTGTTGTTGTCATCGTTTGGCGACGTTCTCCTTTCCTTTATTGGTTAGAAGGTCCGTAAGACGTCCCTACTTCAATAGTTCAGCTACTTCAAACCTCAAAGCAATACAATCATCTGTGTGGTGGCCATGGTCGGCGTGAAACTCACACCATTTACTTTTACCTCGCTGGTCACTAGAGCTTCTCATCTTTCCGGGCCAATTTACCTTGCTGCCCATTCCCTTCAATACTACAATTAGTTCTGTTGGCCTGATAGAGAGGTTGTATTCGAGGACCCCAATCTTCGTTTTTGCAGAAGGTCGTTCAATTAGTTTGGGCAATTCCATGGAGTTGATATTCGGTGAAATTAAAATTAGCATCATCCTCTTCCCATTTAATCTACGCCCAATCTTTGGCCAAGACATCCTCCATTGTGCTGTATGGGTATTCGGTAAGTTTCTCATACAAATCAGTGTCTGGGAGGAGCCCCTTTCGAAAAGCAAAAATGGCAGTTTGTTGGTTGCAGCTAGGGATGGAAACTTTCTCCCGATTGAATCGCCCGACAAATTCTCGCAGTAACTCATTCTCTCTGCACTATATGATAGAGGTCATCGGATCACTTCTCTAGTTTTCTACTACTTGCAAACTGTTCAACAAAAGTATTAGTTAGTTGGGCGAATGATGATATAGAATTATTTGGAAGATTGGTATACCACTATAAGGCCGGCCCCACTAGACTAGAGTCGAACCCTTTACACATTCAAGCTTCTCGAAGGTCTGTTGGTATAGCGACGGTAAACATTCTCTGTCTATATTAAGCTATATGATCGTCTGGATTGATCGTCCCATTGTATAACTTCATAGTAGGAAAGCTAAATTTTTTGGGCATTTCCACTAGTGCAATTTCATCGACAAAGATTGGCTGCACTTTCCTTGATAGGCACTGGCATCCTTAGGATACGTTGAACCATGGCTTTGATCACTGCTAATTTTCGTACGAATTCTGGGTCCTGTCCATTATTAGGCTGTGGTTGCGTGTCTTTGGATCCTCCGTTAAGCGATGCGGCAAATTCGACATTCAAACTATTGGTCCTAAGTCCAATTTGGTCAAGTGAAGGAATCGACTGTGATGGTTATGGCAATGTTGAATCGGATACCAAGGATTTCACTCTTTCTTAAAGGTCTCGATTCTCCACACGGATGGCAGCATTTTTCGCTCTAGCCTTTCGAGCTTTTGTGAATTCTATTTTGTCAACTCGATGATTTGGGCTAGATGTGCAGTGACTTCACCAAACGGAGTGGTAGGTTGAGGGTGTGTAGAGGCAGGACGGACAGTACTCTGCTGTACAACTACTGACTGGATCGGATGGATCGACTGGATGGTTGTTGGATGGATAGGACAAGCTAATGTTGGAGTGGTAGGTAGAGCAGTAGCATGACCTGAGCCGCTTCCTTGTTGTATTGTTGCTTCCACCTCTTAACGAATCATTCGTTCTACTTCCTGACGAGCTAATTCTTCCGATGTATGATCAGTGAAGCCGTCTGTACGATGGGTTTCAAAAGTTTCTGACATGGTAAGGATGATTGTCAAATAGTAATGATGAGAGTTTCATTTGTAAGAATGATTGCTAGGGCCCCATGGTGGGCGCCAAATTGTAGACGGTAGGTTCTACAACTAAGAAATCAGATCAAGTAGGCCACCAGCAATCCTGTGGAACTTAAGAAAAATAAAACAAAGGAAAATGACCATAAAAAGATCTTAAAAGGACATCAGTGTGGTGTCAACCGAAGACCCTCCAATGGTCAAGTCAGTAAATCTTGTAGAAAGTTTGATAAATGCTAGATGGAAGAAAGAAGAAATCAATTAGAGTCTAGTAGATTCTGATACCTGAATGCTTAACCGACTGCTGAATTTATAAGAGTGAGATAACCGTCTAGGAGGGATTGGCGGGGATTCTCCGAGATTTCATGTTTGGTTGAAGCCAAATCTAATCCTATCTGTTCAGTTGAGATATCAGATCCGTTTGTAGATAACTCTCACTAGATCTGGATAGATCGTAACGTGATCTATCTAGAAGATAGATTATTGGAGATTTTGAATTGACATGTAGGTCATGGATTGTGTATTTGGGTCGATTGTTATAATGAGTTGGGCCGAAGATGGCGCGGTTGAATCGTATGTGGACCCTGTTATATGTTTGGGCCACTTGGACCAATAAATTAGTTTTTACCACTACAATGGTCAAATTGACTTTTTTGGGTTTACTAACGGAGAAATTGACAGAAAATGAATGGAAGGATTATTTGTGCAATAAAAATATGATTTTACTCCCTATTCAAATAAAACAAAAAAGAAAAGAAAGGGTAAAGAATTAATTGTAACTATAACCCCAAAATTTCGAAAAATTACAAACCAATCACAAATATATTTACACTTAAAATAATAATAATAATAATAATAATAATAATAATAATAATAATAATAATAATAATAATAATAATAATGGCACGTGACCACCACCACCAAAAAGAGCCATCAAAACTCCCTCAACCATCCACAACCTATGCCAACTGTGGTGGATCCACTTGTTTCCCCCCTCCACTGAACATATCCGCCACCCCTTACGTCTCCATCCAATTCCCCGTTGTCAACCTCCCAAACCCACCAACAAACACAAAGAGGCAATCATTTGTACTCTGGTCCTGCAACCCCAAAAAGTGGACCCCATTTCCCCATCCCACCCCACTACCCCGTCGAAGATAATCCACTCCCAAGACGAAATTGTA